AAGAGACAGAGGCATTGTAGACATTTGTCTCTACTAGCCGCCTCGAATTTCAAATTAATTTTCTTAAGTTCACGTACCTCCGATTTGCACAGGTTAGAAACAGGTTAGAAAAAATACCTCATAGTTACCTATGTAAACAAAAGAATTGAAGCCCAGCCTTTTGTAAAGAGGTGCGATCGATTTTATTTTAAAGATACTCATTATGGCAACATCGTTGGTGTTTCTAGGATCAAAAAAATATGAATGGAAAGACACTTCAATTCAAAGAACTTCATTTTAATGCATGACTTTAATGTTATTTGTTTCGGTCGCCTCTCAAAGTCTCTGATTTTGACAAAAATGATTCAGCTTTTATTAAAGGACGACCATGAAATAAAAGGAAGTTAGAAAACATCTTCAGCCTGATCAAAACGTTCCCAGATAAAGAAAGTTGTTTATTTCCTTTGTTTTTTCTTTTGTTTTTTGTTTTCTATTTGTCATAATTAAAATTTTGATAGTCCGAATTTGTAATTCGCTTAATTCGATTCATCATTTAGTTGGCGGCAAAAACAAACTTTTAACTTCGAATGCAATCAGGTTTAGCAAATAAGAAATTCCGACATCTTAACATTCGTACAGTTTAGACTCTCCACTCGCTATCGCTACTTTATCTCATTTTGGTTAAAAAGAGAAATTTACAATTTACTATTCATGGAAACAGAAAATGAGCACGAAACCTGTATATGTGGTTACTGCCGTTTAACCGAACTATGAAGTTCATAGAAATCCCATTGGAGATCTTGTCACAGTTTTAATATCATTTAAATAAAATCGAACTAAAATCAGTTTATCTTTTCCAAATTTTTACTGCACAAATTCAAACCAGACTGGCGATTTTCATCTAATCTCCTCGGAGCACAAATCTTTTTCGTCTAGTTGCTACAGGATTTTGAGCCAAAAAAAAAACTTTGAGAGTGAGATCACTTTTCTTGCAGATACCCAAATCTGCATATCTCCCCTCCTGCTTTCTTCGGGATCAAATCTCTGTCTCTGCAACATGATCTTCAAGACTTTAAGTGCTTCTCATATCCACTCAAACTTCAGATTTTAATATATCAACAAAGTTGAAATGGTAAATTGGCCACCATTACGATTATAAAAGCTGACGTTTCGAGCGTTAGCCCTTCGTCGGAGCGAGTAGAGGAATTGTGGGTTGTTTGTGCTTTTAAAGGCAGAAAATGGAGCTACGTGCCTTTAAAAGCTCACACAACCCACAATTCCTCTATTCGCTCCGACGAAGGGCTAACGCTCGAAACGTCAGCTTTTATAATCGTAATGGTGGCCAATTTACCATTTCAACTTTGTTGATATATTAAAATCTGAAGTTTGAGTGGATATGAGAAGCACTTAAAGTCTTGAAGATCATGTTGCAGAGACAGAGATTTGATCCCGAAGAAAGCAGGAGGGGAGATATGCAGATTTGGGTATCTGCAAGAAAAGTGATCTCACTCTCAAAGTTTTTTTTTTGGCTCAAAATCCTGTAGCAACTAGACGAAAAAGATTTGTGCTCCGAGGAGATTAGATGAAAATCGCCAGTCTGGTTTGAATTTGTGCAGTAAAAATTTGGAAAAGATAAACTGATTTTAGTTCGATTTTATTTAAATGATATTAAAACTGTGACAAGATCTCCAATGGGATTTCTATGAACTTCATAGTTCGGTTAAACGGCAGTAACCACATATACAGGTTTCGTGCTCATTTTCTGTTTCCATGAATAGTAAATTGTAAATTTCTCTTTTTAACCAAAATGAGATAAAGTAGCGATAGCGAGTGGAGAGTCTAAACTGTACGAATGTTAAGATGTCGGAATTTCTTATTTGCTAAACCTGATTGCATTCGAAGATAAAAGTTTGTTTTTGCCGCCAACTAAATGATGAATCGAATTAAGCGAATTACAAATTCGGACTATCAAAATTTTAATTATGACAAATAGAAAACAAAAAACAAAAGAAAAAACAAAGGAAATAAACAACTTTCTTTATCTGGGAACGTTTTGATCAGGCTGAAGATGTTTTCTAACTTCCTTTTATTTCATGGTCGTCCCTTAATAAAAGCTGAATCATTTTTGTCAAAATCAGAGACTTTGAGAGGCGACCGAAACAAATAACATTAAAGTCATGCATTAAAATGAAGTTCTTTGAATTGAAGTGTCATTCCATTCATATTTTTTTGATCCTAGAAACACCAACGATGTTGCCATAATGAGTATCTTTAAAATAAAATCGATCGCACCTCTTTACAAAAGGCTGGGCTTCAATTCTTTTGTTTACATAGGTAACTATGAGGTATTTTTTCTAACCTGTTTCTAACCTGTGCAAATCGGAGGTACGTGAACTTAAGAAAATTAATTTGAAATTCGAGGCGGCTAGTAGAGACAAATGTCTACAATGCCTCTGTCTCTTTAATGTGGCTGAATGTAAATTAGGCGAAGTTAAACTTGAGCCAACGCAGTCATCGGCGGTCGGTGGGCAGCCACGCGCGGGGGGTTCGCATTTACTGGGTTTGTTGCAGGGGCATTTGTATTGCGTTCCAGCTACGTTCTCGTTCGCTTTTGCTTGCCATAGTTGAGTGCCTTTTTGGCTCCCACTCCCCCCCACCCCGTTTTTGGTCTTCGTCGTGCAACAGTGGTGAGTATGTCGGTTGGTAAGTATTTCCACTCATTTATCAGTGTCACGGTGCCGGGTGGTTGCTGCTCTCAGGGTTGCCATGGATACCTGCGAGCCTGGCTGGCATCACGCACGGCTCCACCTAAACCGAAGGCTCCTTCCCCAAGCTCATCTATTGGTGATAAGTTTAATCTCTGCTTATGATAAGCGATAAACTATTTTAACACTGCTGGAAAAACCAACAAAGGACTGAAAAAGCCAACAAAAATCAAGGAAGCCATTCAAAAGGGCAAGAATCCTTTGTTCATTTCACAACAAAATCTAACATAAGAAAATTTCAAAAATTGGATTTTCATGGCTGCTATGATAATGTTTTTCCAGAGCGTCTTAGATCAAATTGAGAGGTGTAAGATAACAAATATGGAGTTATTTTAAAATGGGTATACAACTTGACTCAGCATTTAACAAATGTGCGCAACAGGTTTCCTGATAAAAACGTTTAACTTTGAAGAATTGGCAAGTTTTCTCTTTCAAACTCACTCGCAAAAAATATGACTTTTTTCTTTTGTTCAATTTTTTTCCTTTTCTAGGCTGAATTTTGCCCTCAAACGAATACACCACGTGAACCAATTCACGAAATGACAAAGTTTAAAAGCTGTTGCTACAAACCGATGTCTGGTCCTAAAAATGGAAGAAAAAAAACCACCTTACACGAGATTATTTTTAAGAAAATCCTAACCCTTTACTCACCCCAGGAGAGCTTCTTTTTCCAAAGGGTTTTGACGCAAAAATTAGCGCAAAACAAAGGGTCCAATTGAGAAACGTCTGAAAAATCATAGTTCTGAACGTCAACGTGGTATTAGACAGAATGAATCCGAATTGAAAGGATGTCCCGCTTTTAATTTTGAGTAAAATTTTCGACGCGTGAAAAGCTGCAAACAGGCGTGTTTGCCTCAGACAAACGGCGCGCTTAGATATAATTGATTTGCGCCGACATTACTTCTTGCGGTAGACAACGACATAATGAAACTCTTGCAGTGAATTGGTCTTAGGTCTAGGAATCATCTTTTTTTTAAGACCTAAAATAGATTATGGCATATTTATATTTATTAAAAACTGGATCATTGGATAATGCAATTCAAGACTTTTTATTGGCTTAGCCATTATGGTATATGAGCCAATATACCATAAGCTACAAATATGGTAAGCGTGCGCGTTAGCTTAAAATCAAAAGGGAGCTAAAAAATCCGGTTTCTTCTCACAAAATAATAATTTCTTGGGGGCGTTTTTAATAAAACAGTTA